TACCTACACACTGTATTATTAGCTTTGCTTTCAAACTTCAAAAATTTACAATAAAAACCCCTCACTCTTACCTTTGTTAAAAAATTATTTTAAAATCACAGATATAAAAAAATTACAGATATATATTCCTGGTCTGTGGTAGTCTCTCAAGAAATGCTGGATCATTTTTATCATTGTTATTAACTTTCACCACACAGCACCTAACCTATCACTAGGCACTGTATGTATATTAGCCAATGACTAACAGAAATGGCTTATGGCATTTCCACACAGGACAGGGTACAGGAAGAACATAACAGGAGCTTTGTAAGTGTTCCTGTGTGAGGGAAGAAAGAAGTTAATCGAAAGCATTTGGAATGACCTGAGAAAAGAGACCCAACTGCCAAATAAAGTGAGTTGTCCAGGAAGCCAGGGCTTCAGGCACTGTGGGTTCCTATGAAAACGAGAGGGAAGGGGAGGGAAGGAGGGGGAAGGGAGGAGGAGGGAGGAAGGGAGGAGGAGGGAGGGACGGAGGGAGGGACGGAGGGAGGGAGGGAGGGAGGAAGGGAGGGAGAGAACAAAAAGGTAAGCTCCAATGTCAAGCGCACTTGTGCCATTATTCTGCCTTGGACAGGTCCTGGCTGGTGGAATGTGCTGAAGATTACATTACTGATTTTTATTTTTTCTGTAAAAGGCATCACACCCAACTTAAATTCCTATTCTCCCATTATAGGCTAACAACACAGATTAGCAAGTGAATCTCCCTTGGTCACTGAGCTAAATCACAATACCCTGCAACACGGGACTGAATTCCCAAGAAAACAATTTAATTTGAGGGTTAGTCACCTATGAAAAGGCTTAGGTTAAAAACAAAGGAAAGGCAGGAGTGAATAAAGACTTTCAGAAACCTTTCTCCGAGGTTCTCTTGTGCAATATAAAGTTTTAAAATATCAGAATTTTTTTCTGCATCTCATTCTTGTTTTCCTCTAATGGAAATTTCTGTGTTTAACTTTAATGAATTAAAATGGCCCTATATATATATATATATCAATAAGATCTAAAAATATTTTTGGCATGCTCCAGAAAAGCTCTGTGTTTTTATAGCATGCTCTCCTTAAGCAGGACTATTTGTCATTCTTTGAAACACTAAGACATGAAAAAGAAAAGGCTGACTCTGTGTGTGGCCACACTACTTTGCTTAATGCACTAAATGCAAGGTTTTTTAGGGGGAAAAAAATCAAGAAGTTTCTGCTTCATTGATAATCTGACAGTAACTATTTATTGAAGGTAAAATACTTGTTGTCTGCTGTCACTATTTGTTTTAATACATAATCTTGCTAACTTAATGAGCTTAAAGCAATGTAGATAAGCAGTGGCATGCACCGGGTCACTTAAATGCCAATTTGACTGTTTCATAAAACTTTGGAATTCTTTTCCCATGAGTCTGTTTCAGCTACAAAATTGTGAGTAATATCCATTTACAGAATTTTAGCTCATCATAAAAAAAAGTTCACTTCCACTTCTGCCACACTTTTTGGTACCCTAAACAACAGTAAAAGCTAATAATTAAAGATTCTTTAAATCCCCACAAAGAGTTAAATGAAGAATAATCTAGAATAAGACAACACATAAAGATGTACTAGTGAAATAAGGAGAAAACCAGAGTGTGAACATGGTCATGGTAAAAGGTAAACTATAATCTAAATTGTATTTACATGGTATTGTCAAAATTGCAATTATATTCCTATGTAATAAAAATGCCATTAAAAAATGGGTGGGGGTGAAACATGAAACCATAGTACAGAAAAATAAAGCCATCTAAACTGCCAAGTAAACCGACCTATGGGCATTTTGTATTGGATTATCATAATAAAATTAACTGATACCATAATCAGTTGACCTAAGTTAGGCATTGCAGCAATCAAAATTACCAAATTTTACACACTAACAATTTTACTTAGCTTCACAAACAGATGTTTTTATTCCAGCTGTTGTTACGTTTGTTAAGTACACTGACAAAAACATGAGTAGGAGGAGGCAATGAATACAACATCCACATCCTAAACGGAAAATCTACTACCAACTTTCCCTCTGAGAAGACTTAATTCAGATCTCGTATATTTCTAAAAATTTAGTTTTCCTTCTAGAAAAAAAAAAAAAGGATGCTCATGTATCAATGTTATTGACTACATTGCAAATACGTAACACTTGGGAAGTTAAGAAAGTTACTTTTTTTAGGTTAGTTATTGGTAGTTACTTTTTAAGTAGTCTTGGATCCACTTGGGGTTTTAAATACTTTTTTCGTCTCTGTGGTGGAGTTTCTGATTTACTTCTTCGTGGTCGCTTAACTTCCTTCCCTATGATTTGCAAGAATTCTGATGACTGGACCTTTAAAAACGTATAAAGTGTACCGTTAAGGGAGGTTGCAACGTAAGAGATGTTCCTCTGATATTTAATAGTCCATGTCATATTTAAATCTGTGATTTCTGTGTATATTTTGCAACACAATATGAATCCTATATCCCTCCAAATCCATTCCTACATTTTACATACCCATATTCATGGCAATGAAAATATAAGCACCACATTTATTTACAGTATTTTTCATTCATTACCTTAAAAACACTAAAGAAATACAAAATTTTAACCTTAATAAAGCTACCTTTTTTTCCTTCCTAGTGCTGGGAACTGAACCCAGCATTTTACATATGCTAGGCAGAGTCTCCACTGAGTTATTTCCCAAGCCCAACCCCATCTTCTTCACTGGTATTTTTAAAAGAACTTTCCCTTAGTTTCTTCAATATGTGGTTACAAGTACAAGCTAAAAGTAACTTTAATGTGTTATCATTTTATTATTACTACTACAACTATTTTGAGCAATGTTTTGTTAATTTGTACTTCCTACAGATGTGCTGTTTTGGGGGGGGCTTTGTTTATTTGTTATGTATTTGGTACAGGGTCTCACTACACAGCTCAAACTCATAGTGATCCTCCTGTTTTCAGCCCCTCAACCCCAGCACTGGAATTACAGGTGTGTGTCACCACACCCAGTCTCAGTGGCAGGCTCAGCATGCCCAGGGGTGGGGCTGGAACAGCATGCAATGCCAGGAATCAAACCCCAGTTCCTGCGCTTACCTAAGCAGGCATTTAGTCCACTGAGCTAGCTCCCTGGCCCTAGCTGTGTTGTTTTCTACTTCTACTGCTTAACAAACATCAAGTCTATCCTTTCTCATAAATAATTGTCTTCTAATCATTATAAGCTTTGAAAGTATTACTTCAAGGAAGTCATGCAGAGTTGAGGTAATCATTCATGTAATGATTTTTCTCCTGAGACTGTTTTTCATTTTGAGACTAGGTTAAAGGAAAAAAGGAGAGAGACCTTACTTGCAAGAAGCTGAGATATGGTTGGGTAAGTAGAAGCTGCCAAATAAAGGTAAGTTCCTATAAATTAGATGATGAATCTGGGGTTGGTTCCATAGAAAGGAGTTATTTAACTTCTTGCATAAGAAGAAATGAGGAGTAACAGAAGTTTAAGGAGTACTAAACACTCCATTTCCCCACCCAGTTCATATCTGAATTTCCTCCACAATGTCTCCACCAAGTGGTCATTTCCTGGCTTGAACACAGTCAGGTACATTTCAGGTCAATCATTTTCTATCTGAAGCTCTTCCAGCTGTTAGAGGTCTTTGTTTGTTTGTTTGTTTATTATTAAGCCTATTAATTTTTATCCACCAGTCTCAATCCAAACCTTAGGAACTATACAGGCACCAATCTAGCCTTCTTCCACCTGACAAACAGTCAAATACCTGAATGCAAAGGATTCCCCTGGACCTGCTTTTTTGCCAGTTAAACAGCCTTAATGCCTTCAACTCTACCTCACATGATGTGGCTTTGCAGTTCTGTGCTTTTTATTTTGAATGTTCTCTTCCCAACAGTCTTTGACTTGTGAGATTTCTCCCCAGGATTGGACACTCCCACCTGAACATAATATATATTTGAGGTAGGACAAGACCAAATCAACCAGGAGAAAGATGATTCCTTCTTACAGCATTTGTCAACCAATGAAAGCTCTAATTCTTTTTGTCTTCCTATAACAAAATATTATATTTTAAAACCCTGGTGTCATTCACATTTATCATTATTACATATTCTCATCCCATATCTACACATTGCGTTTATTGACACAAAGACAAAACTTACATGTATATAGTATCCTATATGTATATCCTAGTTATACATATCCTTATATGTATAATTTTCCTAATTAAATTTTAGCTGAGGTCAAACCAGCAGGACCTTTCACCCATTACACTTTAATGTCACCTGCAAATCCAACCAACAATGCTCTTAAGTATTATCAAACAAATTACTGATAAACATGTTGAATTAGACATAGCCTTATAGCACTCCACCAGGGCCTTGCACGCAGCAGTTGTCCATCCTTTGCATAACTCATTTGAAATTCATCCAGCAATCTACAGGACTAATCTACTACCTGCTATCTTGGCTGCAAAACTGTTAGGAGGCTGTTAAGAGTAAATTGTTGAAGTTTGGAATAGTAATCACTCATGCTTATTGAATATTTCATGCGCCACGTGTTGTTTAAGTGTACTCTATTGTAGCGTCCACACAGACTCCTTGCACCAACATTATGCAGCGGGCCCTGTCATTATCCTCATTTAGCAATGCAAGTATGTAGCTCAGGAATTTACCCAAGATTGTGTTGGTAGGAAAGGCTAGAGGGAGAATTCCCTCCCTGGAAATGTGGGTCCAGAGCTTGTGACCTCCCTGTGCTACCTTTATACTGAACAGCAGATCTAACACTTTTCTAATGTTCAGTATAGTAATTCTGGAAGAAGAAATGAGGTCAGTCTTCTATGGCTTGTCCTTGGAGAACTCTGATCCAAGTGACAAGCTCTTTCTTTCATAAAGTCTCAAGCACAATTCTTTTAGAAAGTCGCTTAAACCTAGAGTTTTGACCAAGGCCAGAGTTTTGCACAGATGGTTGCTGAAGTCAAAGCCCTTACCCTTAAGATATGAAAGTTAGATTTATACTTGCCAGTCTCCAGGCATCTGGCTCCTCTCCCACCTGTCGGCTAACTCTCAAAATCTTTTACACATCTTGGGATTCAAGATTCAAATAAATCTTTTCTCTCCAAAGATCACTTGCTTTCTCAGATTTAAGAAGCAAGGTATGAGTGTATCAGTTTTCTTTATTTCTGACACTTTTGTGTTTACTTAAAGCCTCAACCTTTTTACAAGAATAAATCAAGGCAGCTCTGTCATCTGTTGTCATTACACTATTCATCCATAATGACAAGGTTCTTTCTTTTTTCCCTCTCTTTGCTCCAAAACTAACAAGAAAATTGCTTTTTTCTCTTGTTTTTCTTCTTTTTTGTTGTTGTTCTTAACATTGTTTTCAGAACTCTCCTTCTGTACCTTAGCTAGCCACTTTTAGGCTTACCTGTAGATATGTTAAAACAAATTTTATGTAAGTCAAATGGATTGGCTCAATTTAAAGTATTGAAACAGTAAGATGATTATATGACTACTGTAAAAAATTGAAATTTATCATAAATAAAGTGAATCTGAGAAACATATCGCAACAGGAAAAGACTCAAGTTAGGACAAGCCTAAATAGAGCAGAGCTGTAATAGCTCCAAAGTTTACCCAGTCCTGATTCCTGAACTACAATTCCTAATTATGTTGACATGGTAGCTAAAAGGATCTTGGTCAATTTCTGAATGAGTCTAGACTCCTTTTTTCTTAGGAAAATCTATGTTCTTCCTAGAATTGCAATTAGGGTTAAGACTAAAAGCCCTCAAGAAACATATGCTCTTTTTTTAAAATGCACAATTTGCATTTCTCAGGTCCCTTATCAGGATAGACCACAGACAGACAGACAGACAGACAGACAGACAGACACACACACACACACACACACACACACACACACACAGAACCTTGGTCCTCGCCTGGGCCATTTCTGTACACCCTTACATCCTCAACTCTGCCTAGTATGTCCAATGTTAACAATTTTTCACCCTCATAGATATCCTCTTGGGTACCTTTAGGGTGCTTTTACGACGTCCATCTTCCACACGTTCAGTTGGTTCCTCTGCTGGATGCATTTCCAATGAGTCCTGAAATTTAAATGCTATGTCTTCTGCATCTAAGGATGGCCTGTCTGATACTCCATCCTGGTCAATCTGGAAAGTACTTGAGCCCTCATCAAGAAGCTCCTCAGACATACTCTGTTGGGAAAGGTAAATACAAAAAATGTTTTTGTTGTTGGTCCTCCCAACTTCTTCAGTTGTGCAATATTTTCTGACCAGAAAATTAATATAAAAATGTATGCCTGAAATTGAGGACAGGTGAAGGTTCCTCTCCAAATTTAGAAAGAAAAATTCAAACTGACTTAAGAAAATTATAAAGGCTGGCAAATTATTTCCCTGGCCTTTGCCTCAGAAAAGATACCCATTCCACTATCATTATGCACAACCTTTAAGGAAATAAAAAAGCTTAGATATCCCCATGATGTTGCTGAGCATACACAGGATTAAGCCAGTGTACACTCCACAGAATGCGCTACTGGACAGTTTTCATTTCATTATCCCATGTAGCTCCCACATCAGCCTGGTAGCCGTTGTAACACTGAAGCCTTGTCCAAACCTGAGGTTCTCTGAGGCTGAGAAATAGCACTCCTCCTAGCCAGATGCTCTATGAAAAACCTGACTTAAGTCTCCAGGGAAAAACAAACTAGAAGAATCAAAAAGGACACCAGCTAACCATCTGCACCCCAACACCAATTGAGAAATTTTCACAAAATGTTTCTCCTCCATTTACTTTTCCTTCTTTAAAAATGTCCCTTTGACTTATGACCAAATTCTAAGGAGAGAATCTTTATAATCATATTTAGATACTAGTCACTTTTACACCAAGATTATTTAAGATTACTTAGCACTAACAGTTAAAACTTTATTGCCTCAGTTTAACAAATGATAAGACAAGCCCAATTTAGACAAAAGCCCAAATCACACAGAAGGACCTTAAGATGCAATGTGTAACTTTTTCTTTGATAAACTCATTTACTAATGAGTAAAATTCAGGGTAAAAGATGTCATACAGTACCAAATACTATACCAGTTTCTTTGTTGTGCAAGAAAGGATACGCGAATCAAGATGTTTACCTTTGCAAAATGAAGCTTCTTCCTTGAGCTTGATCTTATTACTGTTGTCGTAGTTGCTATGTTGTTGGGCTTTTTCTTGACCAAGCTACTGACTGTTATTATGGAAAAAGTAAGAGTTTTTTCTTTTCTTTTTTCTTTTTTGGGGCAGAACCAGGGGTTGAACTCAGACCCTTGCGCTTTCCAGGGAAGTGCTTATTCTACTGAGCCATCTCCCCGGCCCGAAAAAGTAAGAGTTTTTTTAACCATATAGGATTGAATTCAAGTGCTGGACCTGTTCATGAGCAATGTCTGTAATTGGACCAAGTTACTTCAACTGTTTATGCTTACTTTCCTAATTAGTCAAACGGTGAATACAGAGAGAAGATAAACTTATTCATTTTATGGTCCATAGCTTTGAATATTACCCTTCACTCCCTTTATTCTAACTTTCTCTGCTCCTAGCTTTCGCTCCACAGTCCCCCTCACCAACCAACAAAACAGAAAATGGAGGAAAAAAGCTCAAGAAAAATGACAGCCTCCAACTACAGTTCTGCATCATGAGGATGCTGCCTGGCCTTCTCCACAAAGCCTTTCCTGATCAAGTCTTGTGACGGATGCCTCTATGTTAGCATTATCACTCCACATTACAATTGCCTACACACTGGACACTGTAATACTCATTGCCAACAGATATGAGCACTATCTCACCGAATTTTAACACTGAGCACAGTCCACGAAGTAGGAACTCCTTGCAGTCCCACCTAAACTAGAAGAAGTTACATAACTTGCCTAACATTACACTTCCGGTAAGTTGCAAAGTTTTGTTTTAGCCCACACAAACTGACTCTAAACTGTACTTTCTATTTGCCCTTCAACAAGAGTAATTTTCAAAATGTCCATGGACTTCTGACACTCTATGAGAGCCTCTCAGTGGCCTGCAATGTTAAAACCACTTTCATAATAATACTAAGATGTCATATAACTTTTCCACTGTGATGAAATTTGCACAAATGATGGAAAGCACTGGTGGACAAAGTGATAAATCAACACTTTCCCAATGACTAATATATGAGGTTATAAAATCATTCATGGAAAGGACTGGCTGAAACAGCAGACAGATTAATGGATTTAATATGATGATATATAACAAGTTCATTATCTGGTTTTGATTTCACATTGTAATTAATCTTTAAGAAAATACCAACTGTAAAGTTTGAGTGCATTAAAAAAGGAGCATCTATAAATACATTAAAAGAATATTAAAATATGGTTCTTTTTCCATTTTGTATGAGACATTTACTTAGCATATTTAATAGTCAAAGTATATTAATATATGTAGTAACCAAAGGAACATATTATAACAGATTGAAAGCAAAAGTAGACATGAGAATCCAACTATCAAACTAGACATTAGATTTGCGGAAAACATAAGGCTATCTTTCTCTTCTAAGTTAAACATTTTTATATCATAGCCTTATTGTTTTAAATGAATGATTAAATATTTTTAATTTTTCTCAGTTTTTTTCTGATAGGTAATTATCAGTTGATATAATGCATATGAACAAAATGTCTTGGGGGCAGCCTTAAAATAATTTTTGAGAGCTAATAGCATTTTAGTACTTCCAAATTTAAAACTTGAGAACTTTTAAAAAGGAAATTGCAGGTGTGAATAAATCTTAGTGGCAGAGTAACTGTCTACCATAAAGGCAAACTTGGGCCTGGTCCTCAGCCCCAGACAAGAGGGGAGGAAGGAGGAGAAAGACAAGGAGGAGGGTAGAGAAGCAAGAAGGGAACACTTGGAATGTGGTAGATTTTCTGCAATTATTTATAAATACATAAATGGAAGGAAATTATTTCTGGCTTTTCTCTACTATGTAATTAAAATCTATTAGAAATAGTAGGGTGCTGCTTTGACTTTGCATACACTGGTATCCTACCCAAATGAGTTTAATCAAGGCAAGAACTGCTTTTGTGATATATTTGCATCAACTATCTCTTAGGCACCCAGTAGGAAAGAAATAAATGAGTTCGCTTTCTTTAAGTAAAAGAGGAAATAACTCACCATGATGGCTCAAAAAATCCCACTCAAAATAGTGAATATGTGTGTAAACAAGTATTCCATTAGCAATGTTCCTTTAAAAATAAAAAGGTTGCATCAAAAGACTAAGAAAGCTCTGAGCCGGCAGTACACAGATGCTCAGAATTGAAGCTGCCATGTTCTGAGGGAAGGGAATCATAGAAAATATAGACCTGCTGGGATGGAAACATGCTTGGCCAGGGCTGTTCAGACAAATCACAACCCAGGACCTACCAGGGAAACATCTACAAGTGGGACAGACTTTAAGTTCTGCTGTTAGGCACAGAGTAGGCACCCAAAAAAATGTGTCTAGAAAAAGAGGTACCAGAGGGCCTGCCAAATAACGCAGCAGATTAAAGTACCTGCCCCTAGCCTTTCAAGGTCAGTACAGACTCAGGACATAGGAGAATCTGTACTGTAACACCATGTAACTCAGTTGTGTCCCAAATTTTCTGATCAAGGAGATTATAGGGCCACAGAGGAAAGTGATCAATGATGTAGAGTGTGCCTAAGGAGAGTCACATGGAGAGAAAACATTCTCTCAGGCTTTCACAGAGAGCAAACCAGTCAACCAGTGGCCATGACTCATCCTTATGGCTGACACTGACAAAGGATCTACAAACTGCCATACAGGGTTTCAGGGTAAATCCTGAGGGGATTTGACTGACATTATCGGATACAAAAGTTACATTTCTTGTTATATAGGTCTTGCTTTATGTTGGTCTTAACCATCCAGCAGAAAAGTATAAAAACAAAAGTATAAAAACTAAAGCCATATTCATATGCTGAGCTGAAAAAAGCTCAAATCAACAACTTCTGACATTGCCAGTCCTATGGAAAACCCACTACTATTATGGACTATTGGACTACATTGGATTATTTTGCTGAATTCATGTACCTACAACATTTACATGACAATAAAATGCCCTTCTCTGACAAAACTAAACAAAAAAGGGGGATACAAATGAATGATCATTTTGTATCTGTATATTCAAAATATTTAGGATAGATATATAGCTGCATTCTCTTAATTCAATCAATAGAGAGATTTGTTCTAATAGTGTTTATGGACAGGATATCATGTCTGCATTTTGTACTATGAATAATCCCTAAGAAGACAACAATATGAAATGTATTAATTATTGAAACTATGCTAGTAATCAGTTTTGAAACTTTCACATTGCTATTTGTTTCTCAATAAAATTATTTTTTAAAAAAAGACTAAAGCACCTGCAAGTAGGCACAGGGGTTGGGTGTTCGATTCTCACAGTCTGCCGTGCCAGCCCCACCCCTGGGACATGCTGAGACAGGAACTGAGACTCGGCATGGTGGCGCGCGCCTGTAATCCCAGCTCTTGGGAGGCTGTAAACAGATGGATCACTACAAGTCCGATATAGTAGTGAGACCCTGAACACCCTGTAAGCCCTTCCCGA